TACCAGGGGGAAATGGCCATCGTGCATGCGCTGGACCACAGCTCGCGTCGCATTGGTGGAGGCGTATCCCCAGCGACAGAGGTGGAAGCCCAGTGACCAGTAGGGCGGCATCATGGGATACCCTGGGGAGACACAGGAATTGGAACATCAAGAGGCATTATGGGAAATACAGCGCGGTCAAAGAGAACGGCTCGGGCCAGGAGGGGGTCCGAAACTCAGCTGAGGTGAAGAGGAAGTCCGGGGCCTTACCAATGACCTTATGGTACTGGCGGACCACATCCTGTGGATCTGGGCCAAGAAAGACATAGAAGTCCAGGACGCCACCAACTGACACCCACGTAAGAGCAGGGGTAGGCTGCAAAGACACCTCTGTTCAGAGGTGCCGGACACACGCACAGAAGATGTCTGCATCATTAACAGTTTAGATCCATTAGGATTATGGTCAAATACACAGAACAAAAACAGCATTTCTAGCAATAATAATACTGATGAAGATGATGATGAGCAACAAGTCCCATCACTAAGCAGACCTATTGCATTGCTGTTCAGCAGAAACACACCATGGGCCCGTCCATCTCCCTCCTGCACCAGATAGAAGGGGTGGGACCCATACAGGTTGACATCACTCTGCAAAAGCCAATAAGAAGTCAGCGGGGGTAGGTAAAGGTGACGTGATAGGTCTATTCAGCTTCTCTGTTGGACCGTGAGAGGGATGATAATGACAAGGATGAAGGCGAGGGTCTCACATGGGGGGCCATGTCTCTGTTCCACAAAGAGACAGAGGTCCAGTTGAGGTCCAGAGTAAGAGGGGTGTAGTGCTCCCCCAGGCCAGATACCAGGGGTGACGCCAGGGAGGTGGAGATCTGCAGGTACTGGTCAGCAAACAGGAGTGGGGCCACTGTAGTGTTCAGGCTGGGACCAACGTATGCACATGTGCGCACCCCCACCCACCAAAGACAGACACCCACAGGAAAGGATCCATTAGTTCAGCAGAAGAGTACATCTGTAAGGATACACTGATCTGCAGTTTATGGGGGGGGGTTAAGCCTCAGTGCCTGTGATCGGAAGGTCGCCGGCTTGAGCCGGGCCTCGGCAGGATAATCCTCGCAAAATCTGAATTAGTCTTGAAGTCCAGTATTGCCCCTGGGTTTGACACCAGCAACGTCAACACGGTTACAGTGACGAGTGCGGACTGGACTTACAGTACACGGCCGTTGGATTTGCGCCGCACTATGAAGCCAAAAGGGTTCCTGAGGAACTCTGTGAGGTACAGCTGGTCCCTGCTCCCTGAGCTCCTCGCAGAGTGAGTGTATGACAGCGGAACTTCATAACGTGGAGTTGCAGGGTCCTTCAGCTGTGGGTTAATAGGGACAAGCAACGGATACACACTGACACAGTTTTGCTCTATCCCTTTTTCCATTAAAGTGATTCAGGCTTTAAATCACATTTCTGTTAGCAAACGAAGTTAGCAAATATGAATAACCAAAGAAACACCCACAGTCAGATGGAGCCGGCTCTCAGTCTCCTCCATGACATCAAGACGGAGCATAGCGATATCCCGGGGCAAGTAGGAAGGTGTGGAACGGGTTAAAGTAGCAGTCCTGCCCAGGGCGATAGGGGAAAAAGGCCCCATCCTGTAACCAGGGTAGGATGGGGGATAGAAACACCATGGGGGTCCACTGGGGAGTGTCTGCATCACGGGGACATAGCAACAGCCCCGTTGCTCGCACTCCTCCCGGCCCAAAGCACGGTCCCGCGCACAATCGAAGCGGTTCTCCGCGCTTACGGCACATGCACTGGGCACGGGGGGTGCCTCGTGACTGGTCACGGGGATATCCCGCGTGCCCACACTGCTTTGCACAATTCTGAGCATAGAAGGTTCTGCATTGTTCCGTGTATGGCGTGTGACGTTTGCACCCGGTTGCCGAGAAGATCGTTTGTCCAGTGGCGCTGTCCTCTGAGACTGACACCTTATATACACGCAGGCGGCAAGCGCCAACACAGGCAGAGTCACGGCGATAGGAAGGGCAAATCGTGGGAGACAATATAGGGCAGCGCGTCTTTGATTCTTCCGGGAAGTCATGAGTACTGTCCAAACACACACTATGTAAAGTGGCGATCAAATTTAATCACACCATTAGAATCCACACAAAAACTCAACCCATAGCTCCATTAAACCCCAAATAACAACTCTGGAAAGAGCGATGTACTGGTACAAATCATCTGTCGTTAGACGGCCTCTCCATGTCATGATAGTGTAATACTGCTTTGCCAATTGCAATGCTGTTATGTCCTAGAAATCCTGGCTAGCATGATGCGAAATTTCTAGCAAAAACACCTGCAAAAGTTTACTTTGTTGCATGTTTTAACACTGTTGTTGCCCATTCCTAAAGCGAAAGTGAAAACACTAACTTCACAGTACAATACCTCCATTTACACGTCGGCAAACACTTCGAACTGACACTGAACTACGGGATCTCACTATGAACAAACCTAACAAGATTTATTTTATCAAATCTCTACGAGTTAAACTGTTTTGATCTGTGGTCGTATTTAGCGTGTAGATTTTTATACTCAGTGTCAGAAAACAATAAAAACTTAGCAGCCTAATTTCACACTTTTTTCGATCTAATCTTTGAGTGAAAACTCGGTCTGATTATTAACAAAATTACATCTGCTTTTGTACAGCCAGCTTTGCAATGCTGCCGATACAACGGCACGCCTACTGGTGTTACCTGATCTCTGGCTCCGTCTTTTGACGATTTTAAGCCATGACTGTGTCTGACAGGACGAATGCAACCATAACCGATCTGGAATTACAATTGAACAATTAGCTGGTACTCAGCGTCTTTCATATTATCACTTACGTCGTTGGTGGTGATTAAAGGGAAAAGCAAAAAAAATATTAATACCCCCCCAAAGAAAAAAAAAAATATATATATATATATAAAATCTGCGACCAAAGTCACCTGACAGGGAAAAATTGAAACTTGTGTATTCACAGCAAACACGCTTTACGGGGGCTGGTGTGACAGACCTAACAAGAAAAAATCTACGGGGAAATATTTGCCTTAAATAAATTAAATTTATGCAATTATATAATATTTTAGAATATTGTTTACATTTCAGCAACTAAGTTCTCGATCAATAACATATTTTGAGGAATTCATGATGGACCCTGATTAGGTCATTAAAATTCATAATACACTACTACCGTTCAAAAGTTTGGGGTCTTTTAGAAATTTCCTTGCTTTTGAAAAAAAAAATTGTCCATTAAAATAACATCAGATTGATCTGAAATACTGTGCAGATATTGTTAATGTTGTAAATGTCTATCATAGCTGGAAACAGCTGTTTTTTAATGGAATATCTACATAGGTGTACAGAGGCCCCTTATCAGCAACAATTATAGTCGTGTTCCAGTGGAATGTTGTGTTTGCCATAGCAAGTTGATCATTTTAAAAGGTTAATGGATCATTAGAAAATCCTTTTGCAATTATGTTAGCACAAATGAAGATTGTTGTGCTGATTAAATAAGCAATAAAACCGGTCTTCTTTTGACAAGTTGAGTATCTGGAGCATCAGCAATTGTGAGTTCGATTATAAGCTCAAAATGGTCAGAAACAAAGAACTTTCTTCTGAAACTCGTCAGTCTATTGTTGTTCTGAGAAATGAAGGCTATTCCATGCAAGAAATTGCCAGGAAACTGAAGATCTCATACAATGCTGTGTATCACTCCCATCACAGAGCATCGCAGACCAGCTCTAACCACAATGGAAAGAGGAGAGGGAGGCCCCGGTGCACAACTGAGCGAGAGGATAGATATATTAGAGGGTGTAGTTTGAGAAACAGACGCCTCATAGGTCTTCAGGGGGCAGCTTCATTAAATAGTACCTGAAAAAGACCAGTCTCAACGTCAACAGTGAAGAGGCGACTCCAGGATGCTGGCCTTCTGGGCAGAATTGCAAAAAACAGGTAAAAATAAAAAGAAAAGACTTAGATGGATAAATGATCACAGACACTGGACAGGGGAAGATTGGAAAAAAGTGCTATGGATAGACGAATCTAAGTTTGAGGTGTTCAGATCACAAACAAGAATGTTTGTGAGATGCAGATCAAATGAAAAGACACTGGAGTGGTTGACGACATCTGTCAAGCATGGGGGAGACAATGTGATGGTCTGGGGCTGCATTGGTGAAAGAGTAGGACATTTGGACAGGGTAAAAGGGATCTTGAAGAAGGAAGGAATGCTGTCACTCCATTTTGCAATGTCATGGCATACCCCCTACACTGGCTTCCTGTGGCTGCCCGCATCAGATTCAAAACACTGATGCTCGCATACAAAGCCAAAAATGATCTGGCTCCATCCTACCTAAAAGACCTCTTCACACCCCGCACTGCACCACGATCTCTCCGATCCTCCAGCACTGCTCGACTGGTCCCACCACCCCTCAAGGCACAAGGAAGACACACCTCCCGACTCTTCTCTGTTCTGGCACCAAGTTGGTGGAATGAACTCCCCCTAGATGTCCGAACAGCTGAGTCACTGAATGTCTTCAAAAGACGACTTAAAACACACCTTTTCCAGAAATACCTGAATTAGCACTTCTGGCATTATACTTGCATTACTAAAAAAAAAAAAAAAAAAGCACTTTTCCAACAGAGTATTAGATCGATGGTGTTCATCGCCTTGGTTTTTACTGAGCTAGTATCGGGAAAAATTCATTGTGGAGTCTTAAAGCACTTATGTAAGTCGTTCTGGCTAAGGGCGTCTGCCAAATGCTGTAAATGTAAATGTAAATGTAAATGTAAATAAATTGGCTTTAATAAAATCGGTCAAAACGCCGATACACCATATATAATTACTGTTTTTTTTACATTTGAACAACAAAACGCGCATAAAAAGAATTTACCGGATAATGTCGCCAGATTTCCGGAAGTTATCGGTGCCATGTGACGCAGGCAGTGACGCGTGACCGTTAGAAAGCTTAAATAGGGTTCGGAGTCAGCGTGCGCGTCATTAGCCCTCGGGGGGAGGCTGGGTGGTATGTTGTGGCGCTGATTCAAATAATATTACATTTAATTTCGTCCCGTTAGGTTATTAAAGGACTATGAATGGAAGCGCAGGTCGTACAATATGCCGTGCTGTCTGCTGTCTTGGTAGGCCGGGTGAAATTAAGTTTGGCACCTAGCGAAAATGATTCCTAAGAAATATTGGGTAAGACTTTATTTATTTATTATTATTACATAATAAAACTGCAAACGATTTTTTCTTCATGTTTTTAATTATCATTTTTAACTGCAGGAAGTTTCTCCATGTTGCGGCATGTCGGTGGACCACGCCACGTGGTCGCAAGTCCAGTGAATCTGGGCTCAAAGGTAACATTCCTTTAGTTAATAAATCCGTAACCCGTATGTATTACACTAACATTTCACAAAACATTTATAGACGATATAATCGCGCTAAACTTTGGAATAGAATAATAAAATGATTCATGAACGGTTTAAAAAGGTGTAAAATCTGCTTTTTGTTTTCAAGCCTGATTTCCTTTTTGTTTTGTCAATATTTTAAAGATTCCGGCGGAGGAGCGGTAGATCACGGTGATGTGGCGCCCCCGAGACCACTTTCCCATCGTCGTGGCTTCGGATTTTTATGATCTCAGTGATCTGAAAATAAATTAATTCAATACTACACTCGACTGTGTTTCTTCTGTTAAGCCAAGCACTTCCTTTAAACCTATGGAGTCTTCACTGTGACTTCATAGGCAAGCTGTTGTGCGAAAGCAAAACCGGCTTGTTATAACTGGGGCTTCTTGGTATAATTTCCCAAGCTGCTCTTTTAAAGCAAGCCACAGCGATTTTTTGAAACCGTACTTTGTGTACTTACTTTGGGGGGTGGGGGGGTTTGTGGCGCTCTTGTTGGCGCAGAGTCCCACTGGGTACCGCGTTTGAACTACAAAGCCCGTGTGGGGCTGGGTTTCCTAGATTGCTCTGCAGCGACATCTGTCGTCATCTGGGTAGATTGTAGCTATTTCGTTATTCAGTCCCATCCTAATGGTAAGCTTGTTTGGACTATCATTGAAATAGTCTATGGATGCAACATGGTGGGGGAACGTTTTACGACGGTAACTCCATGCCGTGGTATTCCTGAATCTTAAGGTCTGTGAATTATAAATGTTTTGACATGCAGGTTTTTTGAAATTCAGCACGTGTTTTTATAACGAAAGGAAATCGCCGTTTGAGTTGTGTGCCCGAAGGAACCAGATTTTCCTGCAACCGGATGTTCCATGAGGCAGGATTTCTTAGCTGGGTTAATTTAAGATAGATGTCATGATTGTCCAATAGGAATGCTCCTTACTTAAACTGGTATTGAACAATCATGACTTGTAGCTTAAGTTAACTCAGCTGAGAGACCCTGCTCTGTGTGACACCCTCCCCCCCAGGCTGATTGTTTCCCAGCATTGAGAGGAGCACCAGTGAATGTGAATATAGTTGCCCAGTGTGGTACTTCTCAAACCCATCCTTGCCCCCCCCTCTGTTTGTGGACTGTCTGGGGGTCCCAGAGCCTGGGTCTAGCAAAGACTGACCCAGTGTGTGATGACATACAGCTGGATGGGCTTGGAAAAGCAAATCCAGTCAATAAAGTGTTGTGGTTCCGAACTTGGTGCCAAAGACCTAAAGGGGAAAGAATATATATTTTTAAGAAAAGGTTTAGCAGTTATCTTCATTTGCTTAGGATTATAATCAGCTCACGTTCTTCTGTCCATGTGCATGTGTGAGTTGTACCAAACCATAAACCAAGTCACACGCAAAGTCATTAAGCGGACTACTGCTTTGAAATCATTTAATTTATACACTTTAATATGGCTCATTCAGAAATTCTAAAGCAGTGCTTCCCAGTCCAGTCATCAGAGACCCACAATTGGTCCACGCCCTTGCTTTCTCCCAGCTCCATGCCAGACAGTCCACATTTTTTGCTCCTTCCCAGCTCTCTGACCGGACTCAGGGGGGAGCAAAAATGTGGACTGTCGGTGGGTCCCCGAGGACCGGATTGGGAAACATTGTTCTAGAGGGAGAAAGACAGTTGTGCCTTATGCTTTTATTGTATAAAAAGAAAGGGGAGGGGTTACACTTGTGATGTAATTAACATGAAAAATATTATGCCCAATAGAATTGCTTAATATAGTTCTGCAGTTTAAGGTACAAAATTATACCTATTACTCTGAGGAAGGAGATAAGACATCTGTACTGGGCTTGGAAGTGCAGCAAAAATATAAGCCTGGTGATGCAGTGTAGCATTGTCTACATTGAATTATTGAGATAGAGGAGAATCTTTTAACGATAAATGGGAAAACACTAGACCAATAATGCTTTGTTTTGAAGGTCTGCACACAGTGGTATTTAACCATTTTAAAGTAGAATCTTTTGTTACATTAAATCAATAAAGAATGCACCCATATGAAAATGTCATGGCAACACTGTATTCTAGACAGAACTGTAATATGGGAAACTAACCCACAGTTTTGACCAGAGTATTGCCAATATACAATCTTTGTATGTCACACTAATGTAAACTATTTAAAACATTATATATCTGTCGGTCTTGCAATTCGCGGTTCTCCCACACCAATAATTTGCATAATCTGCACTCTGTAGCCTTTGCTATTTAAGAAATGGCTTCATAAAAATAAATTAACATCAGGATTATTTTACAACAAACAAAAAGCTCACAGGCCAAACAGATTTTAGACGTACATATTTGTGATTCTTTAAATTGCTTTTTCTCTGTACATTCGTTTGGTGTGCTAAAATCACACAGCATTGGTATGTTTGAGCACAGACACGTGCAGTAAGGCTGCTCGCTTCAGTGCAAATGAAGCAGTTGAGTGGACAGGCTTCTGATTGGCTATTTTGATGGATACAGTGGCATCGATGTGATTTCTGCATTGGAGTGGCTCAGTCAGTGCTGCGGAGACAGACAGATGTGGTCCAAATATAGCGACCACCTCTCCTGCATGTTTAAGCATAAAACTAAAGCAGGGTTTCCCAGTTCCGGTACTGGAGGGCCAGTCCGTGACATAGTTTGCAGGTTTCCCTGCTCAAACGGACCTTTTTCAGCACACCAGCCAAATTCCAGGTTCAGTAGGCGTGTTTGAGCAGGGAAATCTGCAAACTGTGTCGCGGACTGGCCCTCCAGGACTGGGATTGGAGGAACCTATCACTAAAGCTTATGCAAACATTCACACACAATAATGAACAGGAGATCCTATTTTATGGCACAAATAACCACTCAACTATAGTGTGTGGCATCAATAAAAGATACGACAATTTCAGAACACATTGAGGACACTATCCAGCTGCCTACGTGAGGTGATACTTTGTGACATTCCGTGCGGACGCCTCCCTTCTGTCTCACTTAAGGTCCCTGACGTACGCTTAAACTCTACAATCAAACTTTCCTCTCCTATTTGTAAGGTCCATCTGAAGGACAATGTACAGTGACCTTCATAGGCTCATGAAGGACGTAAGGTGACAGGTGAATGCATTAAGATTGCTAGTTGGCCATATATATTTTTTTTCTCTTCTTGCTCTGCAGTTTGATTGTGTTTCTCCTTCATTAGCATCGATAACATGTCTGTCATATTGAGAAGCTAACAAGGCAGCAAGCTATTGTTTTCATACACGGTTGGAAAGGGGGGGGGGGGGGGGATGGTGGTGCTCTTCTTCACAACTGCCAGGAAACGACCTTCCTGTTACCTAACACTGCTGGTGACAGCTAGTCCAAGCATGCAGCCGACGTCTCTGCCTCCTTGGCATCGGTCTCCCTCGAGTCGGCTGCGGTCCCGTCGATCAAGTTAACGTTGGAACGGGTGTCCATGGCAGAGTGCATGATGGGAAGCCACACATCATCCATATTTGGCATAACAAATATTTTCTGGTGGTACAATGCAGAAAAGTTAGGTAAACAGCTGAGTACATGTACACAGCAAAAAACACGACATTCTGCCACTCTGAAGTTTATAAATACCAGGACTACCAGTTTCCTTTATCCAAGAAATTGAATAGACCTTCTCCGGTTCAACAATACATAGCACTGCGCAAAAGTCATATGCAGCGAGATAAAATGTATAAATTATCTTCATGCATGTATAAAACTATGATATGATGTCTGTCGAGGTGTGTTGGCTTCACAATTTCAGAACCTCTCCTAAAGTCACCCCAGGATTTGCAGCAACCGTCCAACATCACCCATGTATTTTTTGACTGGACCACTAGCGCGCCTCATATGGCTAATCAATACCTCCTTATTTAATTAATAAAGTTATCATTATTATTATTATTTTAATATTGCATTACTGATGAAATGTAACAAATACATGGAATGGCTGAGGTGCCCTGAGGAGAGGTTTGGGAACTGAAGCCGTGTTCATCTAGCCAATCAACAAGGCATCAATGACCTTTTGGAGAACAGAAGAAATTCTTGTTAGTTTTTACCACTGTTAAATTTTATAACTTCCAATTTAAATTGTGTGTTTATTCTCAGCACATATACACTTACTACCCGTATGTTTTAAACATTTACTTGGCTGCTTGAGACATTTGCACAGCACTGTAGACA